AGGGCCGGCGGAGGGAGGGCCGGCGGAGGGAGGGCCGGCCTCCTAGCCTGGGGACAGGCAGTGACCGTCCAGCCGCGCGCTCTCGCCGGCTCAGCCCTTCTTTCCCTCCATCTGCAGCCCCGCTCTCAATCCTAGGGATGCTCCCGTTTGGGGAAGAAAATGTCTGCCTTCATTTGATTTCTTTAAGTGGCTTTGTTTGCAGACTAAAGCCTGGGGGAGGGGCAGTGCGCAGAGAATCCCCCAATGGCAGCAGCCACGGTGCACCCTTTGACCCTGGACACAGCCTTTGTCTGAGCAGCCAGCCTGGTCGGGGGCGATCATCCCCCTGGAGGGGCTTAGGCGCAGGGATCCCATGTCCCCCAAGTCTCAGCTGGGTGCAGCCAACCAGGCACCCGGAGGAGACAGAGCAAAGAAATGGGGGAGGGGGGAAGAGGGGGGCGCCAGCGCTGGGGCCATCTAGCTGGTTCCAGGCCAACCTTGGGGGGCTCCGCCCTCTGGGTCACAGGAGCTGCAGCGTGTCCCCAGACCCAGAGGACTTCTCCTGCTTCTCCCACCCCCAGTGTGAGCTCTAGGGTCCCCGGGCCCTGCCTCGCACACGCTGGTGCACACCTGTGGGCCACAGCATTGCGTGTGGTGAATGCTTGCGGGAATGAATGGGTGCGTCCCCGGCGGCACAGAAACAGAACTTAATCCAGCCCAGTGGTCAGGAAGGGTTCTGGAGGCGGTGGCCCTCACTGAGACCTCGGCCCTGAGCAGGCATCAGCCAAGCTACAGGGGACAGGAAGGAGCACCCAGGAAGCAGGGAGGGGGAGCAAGACACCCAGCACTCCAGGAGCTAGTTTTCACCGTCTCTTCCCCCAGCGGTCCGGATGGGGAACAGACTTTCCCAGGCCCTTTGCACCAGGACCCAGCATGCGTTTGGTGACGTAATGGGGGCCTCTCCCAGGACAGAGGCAGCCAGGCAGCAGGTGTAACCGGGAGGCGGTTTGGGGAGGGACTCTGGGAAATGTCACTTGTCTGCTCTGGGTCCTGCAGATACAAACGGCCAGGGCAGTGCTGAGCGCAGAGAAGATGTGCTGTCTGTTTAGAGCAGTGATGGCGAACCTTTTGAGCTCGGTGTGTCAGCATTTTGAAAAACTTGAACTTAACTCTGGTGCCGTGTCACATATAGAAATTTTTTGATATTTGCAACCATAGTAAAACAAAGATTTATATTTTTGGTATTTATTTTATATATTTAAATGCCATTTCACAAAGAAAAATCAACCAAAAAAAATGAGTTCGCGTTTTATAGGTTCGCCATCACTGGTTTAGACGGTCCTGCCTGAGTTTGCAAAGAGAATAAACCAGGCGACCCACACTGGGCTCTGGAGCGGAGGGGTGGGGCAGGCCCACAGCTGGCTGAGGGCAGCTTTAGGTGACCCCTGTTCCTGGAAGAGAGGTGAGTGGAACCTCTGGTGCCCTGTGCCTGCTCTCACAGCCACTGAGTCCCTCCAGGGCTGGCCCAGCCCCTACCCCGCGGACCCCCATCTCAGAGCCCCACTAAGCCGCTTACACATAGACTCTTTCCAATTGCTTGTGGGCATCTGAGCCTCCTGCCCGGCGAGAGGCCTGGAGTGAGGTGTGGAGGCAGCTTTTTGGGGTTCAGCCAGTGGCCCCCTGGGCAGGCCTCCTGCTGACCCTGGATCCAGGAGGGGCCTTGTCATCCCAGGCAGAGGGGAGATCAGGGACAGGAGCTCACACTTCACCCAGGTGCCTGCCAAGGCCTCAGGGTAGAGCAGCTGCCCAGGCAGTGCCCCTCCAGCTGGGACCAGAGGAGCTTATCTGGTCAGCTGACCTCAGGGGCAGCCTGGCTCCGGGTTAGATGTCCCGGAAGACCGGGCCTTGCTCTCATCTGAGGAGGTGAAGAGGAGGAAAAGCACCCTAGCTGGTGTTGCTCAGTGGATAGAGTGTCAGCCTGCAGACCGAAGGGTTCTGGGTTCGATTCTGGTCAAGGGCACGTACCTCGGTTGTAGGCTCCTCCCTGGCCTGAGCCTTGGTCCGGGCACATGCAGGAGGTAACCAATAGATGTGTTTCTCTCACATCGATATTTCTCTCTCTTTTTCCATCTCTCTTCCAATCCCTCTAAAAACCAATGGAAAAATATCCTTGGGTGATATTTAGAGAGAGAGAGAGAGAGAGAGAGAGAAGGAAAAGCAAGATTTGGCCTCCCAGCTTGGCCCTCTGGTCAAGCAGATGGAAGACATGCGGCTAGGGTGGTTCCCAGCTCCGCCTCCCTCACCACAAGCTGCCTGTCCCTGGCACGTGGTCCTGCCCGCCTCGCCCCGAAGGCTGGTGTCTAATAGCAGCTCCCCCACCAGGCGCAGAGACCACACGCTGACCCAGAGACCAGGGTGCGGCCCAGTGGCATCAGGAGAGGATGGTCCCCCTCCCTTGCTGACATTCAGGGCGTTCCGCTGGGGTGCCCGCGCCTCTCCTCCTGGCCTGGCTCCCTCCCTCCGCGACCTGCCAACCCCTTCCCATCACCCTCTCGGCCCATAGTGTCCTCAGCCGTCCACAGGGGAGAACGCGCAGGACCCGAACACATGCCGGGGCGTCACGT